CCTGGCCGTTCAGGGAAAGTTCGAATCGCTGTCATCTCTGTCATAATAAAGATCTGTCTTGCATCCATGGCTCCTGCGTCTATCCCTCACACTACATTTACAATAGGTACTACAAGTGAATTGTGAATTGTGAGCACTGCATGCTTCCCTATCCTGTGAAATGCCTTAAGAAATCTTGCAAAGGGTTGCAGTTGTCTAGATGTCACTTCAAACTGTTGAGATGGACAGCAAATAAATTCAATAATAAAAATATAAAACAACTGTCCTGTTATAAAACTATATCCCCTTTTCTTCACTGTATCCTCATGCCCCAAGATATTTAAAGACCTGGATTAAAGTATGGGTCAAATTTAGTATTAAAGCTTAGCTATAAGCTTGCTCTTTCCAGTATTACTTCAATTTATTTTATTTTAATTTAAGAATGTTTTATTAAAACAGGGTAATCTTCTACTGAGCTGATTTGTTTATGTTGTTATATGCAATGTCTACAAATTTCTTTGGTATCAAAATCTAAGACGATTATGATTTTGCTCATTTGCAGACCTCTGATGGACAATGTACCTATGAAAGTCATAGGAGAGACTGTACTTTACCAGAAGAACAGGGAAATATGGTGCAAGATCTTATTACGTTCCTCACAAAACTTGACAATAGGCCACTGGTAATTTCACTGGGTGTTTTTTTTTTACTGATTTGTTAAAGCTGTAATATCATCCTGTTGCATATTTCTGCCATATAAGCAGAGTTTTCAGAACCACAGAGCGGCTTGATTATGCTAAAATAGTCTAATTATTTCAATGTTAAGCTATCTGGAGAAAAGTCACATTATACACAAGGGTTTTTATTTACCCAAAGATACAGGCAGGTTATGCTGTCAGGAATTCAGCAGTTGGCAATAAACTTACAAAGAGTTAAGGAGAACTCTGCTGAGGCTTCAGCACTATTAAAATCTGAAAGCTTAATGGCTCATATTCAAAACAGTTGACAAGTGCGTCCTTCTAAAAGGCCTTTCCTGATATGAAATAATACTATCAAGGCTTTACGCCATGTAATGCTTACATGTGAGGATTTTCCAGAAAGCAGATTAACTTGCTTTCTTCCAGACAGGAGTTTGCACAAGATAGCTCAGCAAAACACACATTCTGTCTACACAAAAAATACCATCTCTGTCTCAGGGCTACTGTCCTAAGAAACAATGTGCTCGGTTGATAGGTTTACCTATAGCCTTACAAGTAGAGTTTTCAGAACCACAGAGCAGGTCCTGTGAGGTGGCGCAGTGGTTAGGGTGCAGTACTGAAGGCCACTATAGCTGACTGTTATCTGCAGTTCGATGGTTCTAATCTCACCGGCTCAAGGTTAACTCAGCCTTCCATCCTTCCGAGGTA